TGAATGGAAACTAAAGAAGGAATTAAAAAAATTTTAAACGAAAATGAAGATGAATCCGAAAAGAAAAAATGCAAAAGGTAGAGTGAAATAAGGACTATTTGAGATGAACTTTTCTCGCTCCATCGCGAGCAAATGAGGAAGTGTTCGAGAGTGGAACAAAAATGCATTTGTTAATATCGAGGTGGGATCATGACATTGCATTCCGTCCATAAGACAGGCAGTCATATAAGTGGCAGAGATGGTTTCATAGATGGGAAGGAGGGGTAGGGAGGGGGTTGTTTATGGTTGAAGTGGGGGAAAGGTATCCTACAGTTAATTGTATTTAGTAATTCTTCCCGGGAGAGATCGGGCAAGTCGATCGAAACGTTCGTCTAATTCTCACTTTTCATTCTCCGTGCATAACTTTTTTTCACTATGGACATCTTACTTCTCTCAATCATTCACTTTAGCCCAACTCTCTGATGAGGATAAAGGAGATGATTGCGAGAAGTGAAACACTATTCAGCTAAAACTCTTATTTCGTTTGTGGTGAAATTGTTTTCTTGCTGCGATTCATATTTTGAAGTAATTATGTACAATGTTTTCTGCATAGTTGCACTATGCATTGATTTCGAATTTTTTCATTTTTTTTCACATTTTTTTAAAATAATTTTTCACAGGACACTTCATATATGACATATGCTTAAGAAAAGGCATGTTTAGGAATACATTCATCGAGAAAAAGTAGCATGTCTACTGGAAACATAAATATTAAGTCACGAAAACTTGATGAGGCAGTACATGAAGGATGGCTGATGAAGAGGGGTGAACATATCAAGAATTGGCGGCCAAGGTAAGAATGGTATGGTTGATACAAATAACAAAAAAATTTATGTTGTTCATCGTTTCGAATGTAAGACTTGTATTGCTTTCCAGATATTTCGTTCTTTTCAAAGATGGTGCATTGTTAGGGTTTAGAGCGAAACCTGATCCAGACCAGCCGCTTCCCGATCCTTTGAATGATTTTACAGTTAAAAATGTTCAGGTATCTATGTTCAGCTTTTTCTACAATCTTATTATTCCTTTTTTGAAAAAAAAATTTCAACATCATCATCGATTTATCAGGGATGATTTTGTGACGGTTATATATTGCTATTTTATTTTTGGAATTCCAGAATATTTAATGATAGAAATTAACTTTTATTTTGTTAGATTATTAATGACATTTACCATATATGTTTTATCAATTGATAGGCTTGTTTTGATGTAATTAGTCTGAAAAATATATGTAAAAATTACAAGAATTTTTAGAAACCTTTTTATTTAGTTGATGAAAGTAGAGAGGCCAAAGCCAAATACATTCCTAGTTCGTGGTCTTCAATGGACAACTGTCATTGAACGAATGTTTAACGCTGAGACTGCTGAAATACGTGAGGGCTGGATTAATGCAATAAAGGTTTTTTTTTTCTTTTTCATTCGATGTGTCGTGTTATGTACAAAATAATTATCAAGAGCCATTATATCAGTTTACATTTCACGTAAATTTATATCAAATGTTTAGATTGTTTCGGATTCACTTAAGGAGTCGGAATCTCAAATGGATACCGAAATGATGGAGGAATCGGGTGTTCTGTCAGAAGTAAATCGTCAAACAACAGCTGCGCATGAACAGTTCAAAATGTCGATGAGTGGAGGAAGAGATATGATGAGTATGGCTGATGCTGCAGAAGCTGCACGAAGAGATGAGATTGTAGGTTTTCTTTAACTTTGATTATTTGTTCAGAAGAGATTAGTAATGTCATATGCAATGTAAGTTGTTGGGAGATACTATTAAGTATGATGCATTATTTCATACTCTATCACAGTGAAGTAATATTTTTTTGTGTGTCTATAGAGAAACGTCATTCTCATTAGTCTGCTCCAATATTGCTTGTTAGCAAAAATCTTATAAAATTTGGTAATTTGTTTTTACTCTGTGGTAAAGCCTGTGAAAAATATATTCGGTATTCCATGTGATTCTACCTATTGTAAGCTCTGGCGAAGAAGATTGCATCAGATTGTTCAGATTAGTGGTCTAAAATCTGAACCGTGTTGCAGTCCTTAGAAGATTTCGAATTTCTGAAAGTGCTGGGTAAAGGTACTTTTGGTAAAGTTATCTTATGTAAAGAACAGCGAACGAGGAAACTTTATGCGATTAAAATACTGAAGAAAGAAGTCATTATTCAAAAGGTCTGTTATTTCTCGCGATTTTACAGAATCGAACCTTATCTTAGTTTGTACATTTAGCTAATGTTAAAATCATCGTAACAGCTTTTTAAATTTTGCTAGCATTATATGAAGAACTAAATGTAGGCCCTGATGCGCTTGATGTTTATTATAAAAGAAATATAGCTCCAAAAGTTATAAGTCATAGTAAATGTAGAGGAGTTGTTTCCAGGATGAAGTGGCGCATACCTTAACAGAGAACCGTGTATTGCAGAGATGCAAGCATCCATTTTTAACTGTTAGTGTATTTTAGCATTCCTTAATCAGTTTTTTAAATCGAAAATATGCAAAATTTTACTAGTAAAAAGTAGAAGTTTCAATGACCATATAATATATGTTTTTGTTGCTTCGAAAGTGGAAAATTCTAAATTTTTATAGATTCTATTTTGCCGCTTCCAGGTTTTAATTTTTTGAGAACGTTTTGACGTTCTAGTTTTTCTTGACGTTGCTTAGCAAGTTTTTGTTCAAAAAATATCTTTGCTTTCGAGTAGTAATTTAAGCATGATATTGTTAACATCATTTGGGTATTGAATTGAACAGGCGATTAATCATTTTGTAAAAATTGATTTTCAGTCAGGATTATTGTCTTTTACTCTTCCATTGCAGTTCTTTCCTTTCAGTATTGATAAGTGTTTTGCATTTTTCTTACCACTGAATGAAATCTTAATTCATTAGTATTTTAAAGCTTTCTTCAACTTGCTTTTCGTGATTCTTTCTGTAAAATCTTTCAATTATGTTTTCACATGAAGGTAAAATAATCAGAGTGTGTTTTACTGCTCTGTTCTTTATGTCTCTTATATTCGTGTCATTTTAATCATTTAATTTTCTCTTGGATATTCAGGATTTTTCTAAACTGTTTCCATGATTTCTCTGTCATTATTAATCTGAGAAAGGGAATATTCTTTCAACACTATATTCGTTTTGAAGAAGTGAATTTTTTCTCTCTTTCATGATTTTCAGCGGAAGTTTTTATTTAATATCTAGCACATGAATGTTATCCTCTCTGTTTGTGCAAAAATTATATGTTTTGCTGTATATGTTGTAGTTATTTGTTTTAGCAGCTGAAGTACAGTTTTCAAACGCCTTTTCATTTATGTTTCGTGATGGAATTTGCGAATGGTGGTGAATTATTCTTCCATTTACAACAGAATCGGATCTTTAGCGAAACAAGGACACAATTTTACGGCGCCGAAATTATCCTTGCACTTGGTTACCTGCATGAACAGTGCATTGTTTATAGGGATATGAAGGTTAGTGCTTCATACCCTTTTGGAATACACAAAGGATCTCTTTAATCCATAGTTTTGTTCCACTCGTTAATATTTATATAAACAAGAAATCAATATTAATATTTATATTGATTTCTTGTTTTCCGTGAAAATAGTTGCATTTGAATCGTTCTCGCCTTATTTTTTTTTCGCTTTTGTTCACGTAATTTGTATATCGAATATTTATAAGGATTTTTTAGACAAATGTAATTTTTTATTATGCATTAAGATCTATCTTCAAAATACGGAGCACTTACTCAAGCCAAGTAGGGGTAAATTTCTGAACATGGCTTATATATTTGATGGAAAGGGTTATAATTAAGTTATAATTATCAGATTCACTGCTTATTTTTTATTTCTGTTTTTATTTTTTTAAAGAAGTATTCGATGAACATTCTTTCTCGGGTATTTTGTCTTTCTTATTTTGATTAGGATTGTCATATTTAATGATTTGGATTATTTGATTAATTTATAATCAGTTGTCTTCTTTGAAAAAGCTAGATATTTCAGAAAAGCTGCTGATAATATTACGCAATAGATTTAGAGTATTCGAGGAGGAATAATCGAATCCTTAAAAAATCTGATGCCAATTTATTCGTTGCATGTGATCTTTTTGATCAGCTTTTGCAATGATTTTTTGCATGCCTTAATAAATTTCAAACCACTAACTGCACTGCTTGCACTCATTCTTTAATTCATTCAATCATAGAAATTTCTTTAGAACTATTGAAGATTCCACACTTTAAATATATTATCGTATATTTGTTTTAGAAAATTTGGTAGCAGATATCTGCACTATAACATTGTATATATTTTTAACTTTCTCCATTCTTTTTAGTGTTGCCCTTGGAAGCTGTGAAATGGGTTAATTTCATTCATAATATATTTCGTTATGAATAGACAGGAATAACGTACTGGTCATCGGAATTTTAAGTTTTCGTCCTTTTAAAAATTGTTTCACTGATTTTCGGTAATTTTTCTCTTGTCACAGTTGTAAAAATTCAAAAGCGTGAAATCCAAAAGCGTGCATCGAAAAATGAAAAATTCCGCTTTTTTTGATGGGACCGTTTACGAAAATGAGAAAAAACAATTTTGTGTAGGAGCTACGATATTCATTTCAAACCAACGATCGGCTCTGTTTTGTCATGGAATTTGCGATTGGTGGCGACCTTTATTATCATCTAAATAAGGAGGTACAGTTGAAAAGAGCAGGATTCAGTGAATCACGAACTGGCTTCTACGGTGCTGAAATCGTATCCGCAGTTGGCTATTTGCACGCCAACGACATTATTTATCGGGATTTGAAGGTTGGATGCTGTTATAGAAGAGGCTGAATCAAATGCATACGAATCTTCCAAACGTTGCAGGCGAAAGAGATGCCTTGGAGAAGCACATTTGACTGACTGCACTAAAGCTTGTGCTTCAGATACTTTTAGAAATAAATTCTGTTCATTTTTAATTAAATTTTTCAGAAATTCATGTATTTGAACCTTACGTTCTGATGTACTTTTTCTTCGATTTCTTTGTTCGCATGTGGTTACTGCACGTAGTTAGAGCAGCGCTAATTTTTTAAGCAGTAAAGGGGGAACTGATGAAATATTTTGGAACTGAATTTTAGCAATAAAGGAGTGGATACTGAGTTGTTAAAATTTTTTTTGCTCTATAAGCGTTGTTTTATGCTGCGAAGTATACGCCGCTGACATTTTACTATTTTCAAGTTTCTTCGAATATTCGAATAATTCTAGACATGTTTTTCTAAATTTTAGCTAGAAAATTTACTTTTGGACAAAGATGGCCATATAAAGATAGCTGATTTTGGATTATGCAAGGAAGACATATCGTTCGGTGATCGAACAAGGACTTTTTGTGGTACACCAGAATATTTAGCTCCTGAGGTAACATTTTTAGATAAATCTTGAAATTAACACGCTATTTGTTTTTGAAAAAGTACTATTTTTTTGATTATTTTTACTCAATACGGAGTTTTCTCGATTTGCAGGTACTTGAAGATAATGACTATGGTCGTGCGGTTGACTGGTGGGGTGTTGGTGTTGTGATGTACGAAATGATGTGTGGTCGATTGCCTTTTTATTCAAAGGATCATGAAAAGCTGTTTGAGTTAATCCTTACTGGTACTATACGTTTTCCATCGAAATTGACAGCACCAGCTAGAGCTTTACTTACTGGATTACTGATCAAAGATCCGAACCAAAGGTGAGACAAATTTTTCAAGCACTTGTTTAATACCTTCTTATTCTGGTGAGTTGTCAATTCTTTCAAAATCAATTCGAAAAATTCTTTAGTGTTTATTAGTGTAACGAAATTCGAATTAGTTAATCTAGACTTGGCGGAGGACCGGAAGACGCGCAGGAAATTATGCAGCACGAATTCTTCAATAATATTAACTGGGAGAAGTTGTACCGGAAAGAAATCACTCCTCCATTCAGGCCGAACGTGCAGTCGGATACTGATACTTGTTATTTCGATAAGGTTACTCTTTATCAGCTTTAAAAACAGGCGGAATAGCAAGGTTAGGCGACGGCATGTTGCTGTTGAAATGAAACTTCTGAGAATAAATGCATGGATGGAAACAAATGTATTTAAGTTTATTTTGTAAATCTTCACTCATTTTTGAAGAATTAACTACAGCTCAGATGTTATTCAGTTAGTTATTGTTTCATTTCCCAATTTATATGCACGATCTTACTTTTCAGTCTTTGTGTACATGGTGATTTACAGGAATTTACTCAAGCTCCAGTACAACTTACTCCACCATCAGTTCATTCAGGACCTTTGGATACGGTTGATGAACTGGATGAAATGCAGAATAATTTCGTACAATTTTCTTTTCACAACGTCATGTCATCTCCTTTACGTGATGTTAATGATACAATGGACGCACTCGAATAATAGCTACATCATTAAATTTATTCATGAACAAATTTATTTTCAAAGTCTTAGAGAAGTTTCTAAATTTACTTGGATCCCTCCGCTATGAAGTATTCTGCTCTCTTTTGTGGTTTTATTTCGTGATTCTTTAGTTTGTTGCAGATTTCAAATATTCAAAAATAAGATGAAAATAATGTTAAATCTCAAAAATTTTTTATTCTTAAACAATTATACAGGAAACATGTCTTACTGGTGCTATATTTTTTGAATTCAAATTGTAAGTTCCTGCTATTTCATTATTCCTACGTTGACTCTAATTAATTAAGAAAATACCTTCATCATGAACTTATATTTTGATTTTCACTCTGTTTTTGTTCTTCCTTATTGTATATATTTATTCGCAAGTTTTAAATAGGTTCTAGACTTTGTGAAATTATTTAAATTTAGTAATTTTAAATCTTGAGAACATTGGGTATTGGGGCGTCTATTTCTGAATCGTCTTGTGAGTCAACTGTTAGTGATGGGTTTTTGTATGTATTTTTCATCTGATTGATGCTATATTTCGTTTTCATCCATTTTGTTTATGTTCATGTTTGTATTCACTTCATTTTCTTAATTTATTTACGTATAATGTTGATTTCTTTGCCTCTCATATTTTGTTGAAAGTCTGTACTTATGTTGACAAATGAAATGTGGATATTTGCTTGTGCTGTTTTTCTTTTTATTTGATAAAAATCTTGAGAACAATAATTTTGAATATTGCTCTAATTTGGTGACGATATTGAACATGACGATATGTATTTAAACTGTTCATTTTTCCATTTTATTTTTGAAATAAAAAATTGGGTGGGGAGCAATTAATGATATTGAAACTCACGAATGTTACGTCATTTCGTTTAAGTTCATGTCATATTTTGTATCATTGACGTGGAAGTGGAGCTTTACTATTTCTGCGACTTTGTATAATAAGATTATCAGGATTATCGATCTATTTATGGGTTATTGACTGGAACAGGAAGTGGCAATCGAATTCTACCACTAGATGATAGATCAGCTTTAGTACAATAATTTTAAGTTCAGTTATTTAGCGGAGGCCTGAATGAGATGAACCTTTAAAGCATTTATTTTAATATTTCCGCTGATTCGCTACTATTGAAAAAGAAAGTATTGGAGTAAAAGTTGTGTTTTATTACTGTAGCATTATCAGTTTGCTAGCGAATTATGGCAAGTAAGGCAAGTGTAAAAAATAAATTATTCATTGTGAATTGAACATAATATTCATAATTACAATTACATTATTAAAGTCTTAAGTGACTTATAAAACGATTAACTTTTCTGTTTAGCTCTATATTACGGTTATTAATATCAAACTTCACTACGGTATTACAAACTACAATTTATTATTCATAGTATTAATACCATAACTGAAGGGACAGTCTGTTGGATGGAGTAATTTAGATCAGTCTTATTATTTTCAAATAAATTCAGCACCTAAAGTACAAAAGAATGTCCCTTCTTGGAATAGTTAATCGAACAAAATGAAAAGTATTTCGTGCAAGAGAATGAAAATGGATTGATCTTTGTTTTCCTTTTTTATTTTAACTTAAATCAGATCTTCCTATCAAGTCTTGGTTGTTTGAAGCAGCTAAACGAGAAATGCTTTCTCGATAATTAATCCTAATTTATTTTTTCCCAAATTTCTTCTGTGTAGATCATTTTTAGCATATACTGTTTTTCAACTACGTCTTTCATATCAAACAATAAAATCAAAACAATATTATTTTTTATCCTCTTATCAGGAAATACTTCTTGTTTCTCTAATTATTTAAAAATAAATTTAGACTTCATAGTCTATCCAGAGAATGCAAATTTATAGTTTTTTTTTAAGCGCAAAACAAACTTTAAATTATTTACTATGTTGCTACTGAAACCGAAAGCACAAATAATACAAAAATGGTAATAGTAACCTAAGCACGTCATTTGCATTTAAAGTCCAATTATGAATATCAGCTAACTAATATGATCATTTTTACAAACGAAAATTTGTCTGTTACCAATAGCTATAGATTCCTTTTTTAGTTAATGACAGTGATTAATTAGTAGATATATGCAGATTTAAGACAACAACGAGAAATAACTGTATACAATAATGGTATAACGATGATGATAAATAACCGTATGTTTGATAAAAAAATCCTTGGGACCAAGCGCTTCTATTTAAACTTTCTTGTAAGTTGTATTTTTGAAAGTGAGCAAACCATAGCTGTAATTTCTTACAAATTCATCCGAAACGATACAATTAAAATGATCTAAATTTCATTCGCGAAAGAAATCTTCAATTCAATTTTATTCGAGTATTAATTTTACTGTCCTGTCTTTCTCGTAGGAGTAAATGCTTTCGAAATAAAAGCACTTTCGAAAATGATTGATCCTATATCATATATAATATTATCAATTTACAACACATAAAAATATAAGTGCGGTAAATCAAAATTTCTAAAACCTCTAAAATTTGAATGAATTGTAAACTAAACTTCTGACAAACTTACATTATTTAGTGATTAGCTTATTTGCCCGTTTATTAGCTGATTCCACTCTCACCTCATTCGATTGAGTCTGCAATTATTAATGATTATTTAAAATGGCAAATATTTGTTGATTATTTTTTTGTAATGAATTTCAGGATTTGCAATTATAAGAAGCTTAGATGAATAAAATACTCATTCAATATCTTTTTTTCTATAAATATGAATTCAAAAGTATTGTTCAACATACTTTCTCATGGATACGATCCAATTGTCTGTTTTGATTGCTAACTTCTGTACTCATATCAATTGCCATGTTACGTAAATTACCAACCATTGTTGATACTTGTTGTACATTCTCATCCATTTCATCTTCACGCGCATCGTTTATTATTCTAAAAATTTTATTTTTTATTAGAAATACTTAAATGATTAAATTTATTCCGAATAAATGCTAAGCTATAATCAGAAAAAGAAAAAAAAAATCATGTATATGCAATCAAAACTATTCGAAACTGAACATATATCATCGAGAATTCCTAATTAACTTGGATGAAATTTTTGGAAATTTTTCGAAGAAAAGACATGAAATAGCTTATAATTTGCTTCAAAGCGATAAATTCAACAATAATAAAAAAGTTTTATAAAGATTAAAAAGAAAGAAAGAATTTCCTATAGACTGAACATAATGTTCAATAATAAATTAATTAACTGACCGTGTTATATATCCACCCTGAGGACCCATCCCAGAGTCACCAACAGTTATCCGTGGCTGATCACTAATTACACCTCCATCGTCATCCTTTTTCCATGCTTTTGCATATTCCGAATTTTTTTCAAAATCTTCTGTTCTGCAATTCTAATTTATGAAATCCTGCAAAACCATTACTTTATCTTTCAATAAATGAATTACTTTTCATGGTAAATTAAAAATTTTTTGCTAACTGTTAATGTAATATAAAAATGGCAAGTTTCATTTCATAGTGCAATTTGAGCAAATTCATTTAATTATAGATGGATTCCGTGATTTATGTGACGTTCCTTCAAAACATATGCTCAGTAAACATTTAACATTCAAGTGAAATAGTACAGTCATTTTGATAACATCGAATATTTGATGAAGAAGGAAATAATTTGATTATTAATAATAGCACGTTATGAAAAATGTGCTATTATTACCAATAAATAAATGTTTTTAATTCTTGTATGAAGAGTTTTTAATAGTTTTCATTTTTAATCGTAAATAATTTTCATCACCTTCTAAACTGTTCATATATTAGCATTAGCAGATCAATTTAATTTCCATTCATAATATTGATCGTGGAAGTTTTTGAAAAACAAACTTAAAACATGGAAGTGTGCATAAACCACAACACTTTTCCATTCCTTTCAGATGCTCTTCCGCTTCTCGCATATCCTGATTTATTGTGTCGAGACCGCCTTCGACACGTTCAAGCTGCTCTGTAATCAGATTTTTTTCATGAAATAATGCTGATGATTTCAACTTCGCTCAATATATTTGTAGTAATAATGCTTTGTCTCATCCGGATGCTATTTATATACTTCTATTCTTCATCTCCTAATTTTTATAATTCAATTGTTAAAATTTAAAATTAAGAATATAAACAATGGAAATTAAAACATGAGAAAAAAAAGATTGCTGTAAAAGGAAGGAGAGGTGTATAAAAGAGTACCTCCTTGATCATCCAACATTACAAGTGTTTTAATGCCTGCTTCCTTACTCTGAAACCATACAATTTTATGAAGTTTCAAATAAAAGTGAATTCATTTTTTGTTGTTTTCCCAACTTTGCTTCATTACTTTCAGTTCAGTTTAGCAATCTTTTCGCAAAATAAAACTTTTTTATTTCAATTTAGAAGTATTAATTTTAACTTTCCCAATCAATATTCGAACCATGAATTTTATTGTTGAATGAATAAAATATCATTCTCTCAAATGAAATGAATAGATATTAGAGTTAATTTAATCAGAATGACAATTAATAATAATTTTTCATGAAAACATAATTTATTCATTAAATATAAATAACATTAATAACATACCTCTTCACATAATTGCAACATACGCCTTGTTGCTTCCAAAGACTGAAATATTCAAATTAATCTTCTTTTCTTCTTTAGAAGTCTAAGATGTAACAAAAAAAAAAACTTTGAATTGAAATTCTCATCCCTATTATAAATTATAATTATCGTTAATTTCTTAATTTTTTGCCAAAAAATCAAAAGTTAATTGAAAAATTAAAAACTATTTCCTATCAATATTTCATTTTCTTCACACATCCATCACTTTCTTCTTTCACTCTTTTCTCGTTTAATTGAAAATGAGGAA